TTAAAAAATGCATTTAATAAAAAGTAATTTTAAGTTACTCTTATTACTAAAATGATGTATAGTGTGATGTTAAAACACAAATTATTTGGTCAAAATAAAATTAACCTTCAACTAAACTGCTTTATAAGGAAACTTCTTTTGCTTCCAGATCTATGATCAAATAGATCTAGATCCTCAGAATATTGCCCATAAGCCAAATTTAGTCTATAACTAAAATGTGTCCATCTTCACTGTGGAGATGGGTCACACCACAAATTGCTTCATATTGGTCCGAATTGTTTGATAGATCTTAATAGGTCATAATAGGGCCACCCTTTCCATATTAAGTGTCTTAGTTACAGTTTTTTCCGCTCTAGGCAAATAAATTGTAGCTCTTTGTATCTTTTTAAGTTGCCAGTGGACATTTGACAACTTTTTGTCTGCAACTTAACTACTATTGCTGAACCTCCAGATAAGCATGTGGAGTTCTGTTTGGTTTGTTTACATAAAGTACTTCATAATTCTTAAAACTGACAGGTTAGTAATTTCCACTAAACTCTAAAACTTCAGAAGAATCTGGATTCTTGTCTGATCTGTGATCCTGACACTTGATGACACTTGATCTTTCATTGCACAGTTGGTCTCAGTTTTTCCATGTTTCTGGAGGACAGCTGAGTTAGTCTGTAACTGAAAAAACTTAAAAAATAACAAATAGTCTTGCAGCACCTTAAAGATTGAAATGTGCCAGCAATGCCCTTTTACCATGTATATTGGCCAAACTGGACTGTCTCTCTGAGAGGATTAATGGACATAAATCAGATATTAGAAAAGGTAACACACAGAAACCTGTTGGGAAACGTGTTAACTTCCCTGGACGCTCATTAATTAATCTCAAAGTTACCATATTATTGCAAGACAATTTGAAAAACCAGCTTGAAAGGGAGGCTGCAGAACTTACTTTCATTTACACATTTGCTACCTACAGTAGAGGTCTAAAAGTCCTTGTGTGGATGACGCACTACATTCTACATCCTAATGCAGGGGTGGCCAACCTGTTGGAGATGAAGATCCAAAATAGCAGTGGATAGAGTGCGAAGAGCCATCAACTTGGGGAGAGAGAGAGGTAGGGAAGAGTTGAGCAGAAAAAAAAAAGCCGCGCCGGGGGAAAATAGGTGCCAGTACACCATCCTGAGGCATACCATCACAAAAAAGCACTGGAAAGGGGGGGAGAGGTGCAAGCTCTGGGAGGGAATTTGGGTGCAGGAGGAAGTAGAGAAGAGGATGCTGGCTCAGGGAGGGGGCTCCAGACTAGAGAGTGTTGGAGTTAGGGAGAGGGTTGGGGTGCTGAACAAGCCACAGGCTTGTGGCTGTGAGGGAGCAGGAGTTTGAGCTACGGTGCATGAGGGGCTCAGGGCAGGGAGGCTGGGAATATGATGGGCTCAGGACACAGATTTGCAGTGTGTGGATGGGGCAGCAGAATTGTGGCAGAAGACTGGGGATGTGGGGGTGCAGGAGTTTGGGGATGTGAGGCTCAGGACAGGGGGTTCCAGTTTCGAGTAGGCTCAGGTTTCAAGTCTGGAGGTGGTGCAGGAGTGTTACGATGCTGTGACCAGATGGGGGTTTGGTCCCAATTGGCCAGGCTTAATTTTTAAATAAAATATTATGTCAAACACAATGTTTCAGCATTGTCTTTATGAGAGGGGTGGGGAAGCTGTTTTGAGTCAGGGGTTACTGACCCACAGAAAAGTCAGTCGGGGCCACACAAGTGAGATACCAAAAAAAAAAAAAAAAAAACCTCTAAAACCCCCCAGATCTCACTAATGTGGCTCCAACTGTACTGGTGTGGGCAGGGGACAGAGTGCTGGGGCAGGAGCCCGGGACAGAGAACAGGGTGCCAGTGGGTGCTGGGGGAGGAGAAAGGGACCGGTACCTGCTCCCCAAGGCCCAGGAAGTGCACAGGCTGCTCCCCTGTCCCCCAAATAGTGGTGCGGTACCTGAAACGCTGGTCCGTCTGGTGCCTGATGCCTTCCTGCACAAGGAGGAGTCCCAGACCACGCCAGCAACAAATGCTCAGGCAACGTGCACTGTCATGGGGAGTGGAGGAGCAAGGCGCATGCTGTCTGAGCGGTTGGAGCTGGCGCAATCCAGGACTCCCCTTCCACACGCCCCCCCCATGCGGGAAGGCAGCAGGGGAATGAAATCCCCAGTGTGCTGGCTGCAGATGTTCGGGCAGCATGCGCTTTGCTCCCCACGACTTTATTCCCCTGCTGCCTTCCCGGACCATGCCAACCCCAAACGCTTGGGCAGTGCGCACCTTGCTCCTCTGCTCCCTATGGCAGCGTGCACCATTGGAGCAGCCGGAGCCGGGCGTGGTCCTGTATCTCCACCTCCTCCCCCACATGCAGGAAGGCAGCAGGGGAACAAAGTCTGCAGTGTGCGATGGACCAGTGTTTTAGGTACCACACCGGCTGTTGGGGGGGGAGGGAAGAGCAGCCCATGTACTTCTGTAGCTGCACATCAGGTCTTGGAACTCCCCCTCTCCTCCCCTCCCACCCTGCAGGAAGCCCACGCTACCTCCAATGTCCCTGGAGGTAGCATCAGCACAGCCTGCATCTTGAGGGGAGCCAGGGGCTGTTTGGGAAGAGGGGCCAGGGTCGGCTTCGCGAGCTGCACTTTGGAGGGGGGGGGGGGGAGCCGCGTACAACTCATGAGTGATGTGTTGGCCACCCCTTTCCTAATGACTTAAAAAAACAACTACAGGGTACTTAAGAGCACTTAGTACCCACTCAATCAGCTTCATTTAGCATGGACATTCTAATTGGCCTTTTCCCCCTCCCCTTTATTTCCCCTTGTTTTCCTTCTCTTCCTTTCCTTATCTCTTCTCTTTCTCTATTTACTTGGGAACTGGATCCCTTAACTCCATTCATCTGAAGAAGTGGGTTGTGCCCACGGAAGCTCATGATACCATCTGTTACAGCGTGCAAACCTTTTCCCCCTGGGAGGGTGCGCCACCGGGAACACTCAAAGTATTGAGTACTCTTGGTTTATTGTTTAGGTACACCTCCGTTATACCTGTTGCCTTCCACCCGGAAGCACCGCGGCCCGCCCTCAGTCAGATCGTGTCTTCCCGTACTCTTTTGTAGCTTGGTTTAAGTTCGTCGACTCTGTTTCACCGCACATGCCTCCTGGCTGGCGTTCCCCAGATCAAAAGCAAACGCTGCCGGAGCTGGCTTAGTTGGGGATGGCAGGGTAGGGGGACCCGGGCCTTCCCTCACTTCCGGATCCTGGCCCAGAGCTCTGAGGCGGAGAGACAAGCTCCTCTAACTGGCTCACGGGGGAGTCGAGTCGCCCCTAAACATGTCAGCCTGCAGACTCCATGACCCAGCCCTGGGCCACTTCCTACCTGCCTCCGGTATTCACTGTACCTCCGTCCACACGTTGTCGGTCTGGGTCTGCCTCCCTTTCTTGCTGTCTCTTGCCTCCACGTCTTTCGCTGCTCTCAGTTCCAGCATCCCCTTTTCTGTCGCGTTGCTCTCCCCCTTTAAACTCCTCACCGACCGCCAGCGGCAGGGTTCCGCCGGATCAGCCGTTCCCCCGTCGCCCTGTCCACAGGTGATGTCATCCCCCCGTGCCGACCTGGCGCCGCACAGCCCGCAGCCGTGGTTGGCCCACCGTGCCGGTCTGAGTGCAGGGCACGCTTGCCCCCGATCCTCTTGCGCTGGGGCCAAACAGGCGTTGCACTGCTACGGCTTTTCCCACAGCTGCAGCTGGCCCCATAGTGCTGGCATCACGCCGGCTTGAGTGCAGGGTGCACTCGCCCCGTCACACCATCTACATTTTTTGTTAGTCTCTAAGGTGCTGCAAGACTGTTTGTTGTTTAAGTTTTTGCATACGGCTAGTATTAATCTAGCCATAATCATTGCAAAGATTTGATGTGTGTCCAGTATTTGTGGAGATTAGTGACATTTGTTGCACTGCTTGTTATAATTCTTTGATTTCTCTTCATCCAAACAGTTCTTGGAAAGCAGCAGCACTCAATTTTTCTTCTTTTCCTTACATGTTAATCCTCCTTGTTTTTAATTTAGATCCATTCTCAGTTAAATTTGCAAGTTCTGCAGAATGTTAAAATCTTTTAGTATGTCTAAAAGCTCCATGACTGTGCTTGAAAGGATTTAAGTAGGGGTCAACTGGATATTCAAGGGAAAAAATCAGTGAAATATCAGATTTTCTAATTGCAAGTCGACTACTTGGAACCCTGTGCCCCCCTCCCCCCCATTCCTCTATTAGATAGAGGCAACAAAGGAGAGGGAAGAGGAGGGTACTTTGGAGCAGCAGCGCCTCACAGCTGAGCCCGGGGTCAGCTGGGGACTCCCCAGCTGATCAAAGCCTCAAGCATGGTGTTTTTGCAAACTGGAATCAGCTGAGGGAATGCTGTGTGGGAACCTTCAGTCAGCTGGGGAGTCCCCAGCTGACTACAGGTTCCGAGGAAATGCTGCGCAGGAGCCTGGGATCAGCTGGGGAATCCCCAGCTGACCTTGGCTCTACACGCTGCAGCGCCACACAGCTGAACCTGGTATGAGCAGAATCAGCTGGAATGCTTACACACACAAATATCTTTACACATGTGCATAGCCTCACTAAACTCTGATCACATTCATGTATACGTGTTTGTAAAGTTAGAAGCATACCTTCAGAAATGTTTTGCAGTCCTTCAGAATGAAAAGGAAAAATGTTAGAATTGTGAGTGGGAAGTTTGCAAAATGGCAATTTTCTGAATTTTGTACAGTAAGTGCTAAATCTCTACTGCTTCATCTGGAAATATGAACTTGATTTTTTTTAACAGAACCATCTCTTTTTTATTTTTTTTAAAGATTCGTATATGATGTTTACTAAACTGATAATTGTGTCAGTGATGTAGTAAACAATGCTTGAGTTGGGAAAGTGTACTATATAAATGTAAGAGTCAGGACTTGTTTAGTAGCACAATTATTCATTATTATTTGTTTCAAATTTTTCACTAGATTTCCTTGCTGGATATTTCTTCAGTCATGCTCTTCTGATGTTAGGAGACTATCCTTTGGAGTTATAATGGCTTTTAAATGGGAACATGAAGAAAACCAGCCTTGTAAGAGAATCTGTATGTGAGAAGTGATACAAATTACTATAAATAATCATGACAACTTCTCATATGAATGGACATGTTACAGAAGACTCTGACAATGAAACAAAAAATATGGATCTGGCATCACCTGAGGAACCTCAGAAGCACAGAGAAATGGCAGTTGATTGCCCTGGGGATTTGGGCTCCAGGATGATGCCAGTACGACGAAGCACTCAACTTGAGCGGATTCGCCAGCAGCAGGAGGACATGAGGCGTAGACGAGAAGAAGAAGGAAAGAAACAAGAACTCGACCTCACTGCTTCAATGAGGCTTAAGAAACTAGCACAGATTCCTCCTAAAACTGGAATAGATAATCCCATGTTTGACACAGAAGAGGGAGTCATTCTGGAGAGTCCTCATTATGCTGTGAAAATACTAGGTAAGGAAAAAGTACAAACTAGAGGGAAAATACTTGTTTATATGCAAATATGATTTTAGGCCAGAAAACGTTAGATTTGTGGGAGAGTTGCAGCTTTGCAACACAACTTTCAACCTGTGTTGGTGGAAAGAAACACTTTAAATTCCAGCCTGCAGTTTCTGGTCTAAGTTTAAGATAGTACCAACAAAATTTGTTAGTGAAAGAAATTTGATCAATAGTATAAATTACACATTTTAATGTCAATATTTTTGTCCTCGTTTAAGGCCCACTGAAAAATATTTTGATCTTATCTGACGAGCGGCAAGATCCTCCACAGGCTGAATCTGGCCTGCAGACACCCTGCCACTCCCCCACCCCCAGGCCAATCAAGATTGGGAGACGGGGGAGCATGAAAGTGTCTTGGCCCTGCCCCTTCTGTCCAAGGCCCTGCCCCTTCTGGGCCAGCTTGGGACCACTTCAAAAATATGTGAAGTGGCCCCCCTGTAAAAAATTATTGCCCACCCCTGTGCTCATGTGTATTAAGTTACAACTCTTAATGGAGTTGTAGTAAACAATTGATTGCTGGTGTATACATTCATGACCATTCATAGAATCCTAGAACACTAGAACTGAAAGGGAACTCGAGAAAGGGAACTAAAGGGGTCATCGAGTCCAGCCCCCTGCCCTCATTAATAAAACACACATTCTTTGCCAATTTTTGTGTGTTTGAGAAGTGTTCCAGTTATAGGACCACCTCCTTTTTTTCCTAGGTTGAATTTTGTGATTCTTTCACTCTTTTGTTGAGAGCCAGTATATTGCCCCATGATTGCTTGTGTCACCCTCCAGGCCTGAATAGGTTTTAGGCACCAGAGTCTGTGACCAGTGATATCAACTAACAGTCGTCTTAAATGACCAAAAGATAAATGGACACAAATCAGACATCAGAAATGGTAACACCCATAAACCTGTAGAGCAGTGTTTCCCAAATGGAGTTTCATGGAGAAGTGAAAATAAGGATCCTGGGAGAAAATTCCATTACAATAACATTTTATTATTTTAAAATAATAATAATTAATATTTAAGCATTTATGAATTTTATTGAAAACAGTTTTCCTTTGTGTTGATCTCATGATCTTGTTCAGCTTTTGTTTACAAGCAGTCCCCGGGTTACGTACAAGATAGGGACTGTAGGTTTGTTCTTAAGTTGAATTTGTATGTAAGTCGGAACTGGTACATATTGTAGGGGATACTCTAGCCAAACATTTCTCCAGAGCTCAGTTTTATTCTCCCACACCTCACTTCCCTCAGTCCTTTATTCTCAAGCTGAGGTGTCTGCTGAGAAAAGCTGCTCCGCGTCTCCTTGGTTTGCTGCGGGGGGGGCGCTAGCTTCGCGTCTCCCTGGTCTGCTGGGGGGAAGCAGCTAGTGCGGGGTTGCCTCACCCCGTTTGTAAGTAGGGATCCGATGTAAGTCGGATCCATGTAACCCGGGGACTGCCTGTATTATTATCCTTACTTATTTGTGGTCTACTTTTTCAGCTCCATATATAAGACTGTTATTAGGGGTTCTGCAAAATTCTTTTGAGTTTCAAAGAGGTCAGTGGCCAAATAAAATTGGGAAACACTGCTGCAGAGGAACATTTTACCCTGCCTGGTTACTCACTTATGGATTTAAAAGTAGCCATTCTTCTACAAAGGAATTTCGCTTAATTTCACTAACCAGTTACAGCCAGAGTCTGCAGAACTCGGAATTAATCTAAAGATTTGACAGCCCTAAACCCTGGGCTTGAATAAAGACATTAACTAGTTGGTTCATTACAAAGCAAATTTATCCTGCCTTCAACATCCATTTTTCCACATCAAAAGTTATGTATGGGGGACAGCTAGCCCGCTTAATTAACTTCATTTACACTAGTCCTAAATTGACAGGTGGTACTTCTGCTAATATTCCCTACATTTAACACCTCATTTATATCAAAAGCTAAGTATGGGACACTTCCAGCCTACTCAGCTTCATTAGCACCAGGACTGCAACTGACAGGCATTTTTCCTTTCTTTTTCTGTTATAATAAAGTGTGAGTTCTTGTTATCCACTCCACCTTTCAGCTCATCTGAAGTAGGTTTTGTCCATGAAACCTCATGATATTGTATATATTTTTATTAGTCTCTAAGTGCCACAGGACTACTTGTCATCTTGGTATCTGTCATTTCCACCACAATACATCTGATTAAATGGGTTTTACCTATGAAAACTCATGATTCTATATATTTTTGTTAGTTCCTGAGATGCCACAATGAGTTCCTCATTGTTTTTATAGCCTTCTTAAATTAGCAGCTTTATTTATAGCAAATGGATCAAAGCATTAGAGGGGAAAAGTTTTAAAGCAGCAAACAGCATACATACCATATTTAGTCTTATCTGTTGTTATGCATCATTATAAGAAAAATTATGCAAAAATGAGGAGTCCTGTGGCACCTTAGAGAGTAACAGATTTATTAGGGCAGAAGCTTTCCTGGGGGAAAACCCACTTCATCAGATGCATTAGAGTGGAAGTTACAGAGGGAAGATGGACACTCACACACACCCTTGAAGAAAAATTGTTAACCTCTTAAATGTGATCCAACTCACTTTCTCCTTGAAAGTCAAGAAATCCCAGCTATTAGCATGCCCTGCTGTTCTTCATCTTCCCCTTTTCTTTCTATTTCTTAAGCACCTTGTTTGCTTAAATTTGACACTTTACGAATGGGCCTTAACAAAGATGCTAACTACCTTACCCATTACAAAGATAGCTTCCCCAATTATCACCCCTAATATCATTATCTCGTAGACACTAACCTCCCCCATTCATCCCCCCCTCTGTTCTAAAATCTGATTTGTCTATTTTATGTGTTCACTTTTTTTTGATTGTATCCCTATGGTATATATGGTCGTGCCAATTTTCTTCCACTATTTGATCTGAGGAAGTGGGTCTGGCCCACGAAAGCTCATCACCTAATAAACCATCTTGTTAGTCTTTAAAGTGCTGCATAGTCCTGTCTCCTGTTTAAGAAAGATCTCACTTGCCATGTAGGTGTGTAAGCCCAAGTACTATATTGCTCAGTAGTGTGTTTTCAAGGTCAAGTGTGTTTCCTGGTGCCTCAGACTGGGTTTTTTCCAGATTACCAGGACCTATCCAGTAGAATATATCTTTGATAATTGTGCCACTATTTGGCAGTTGGACTCATTCAAACTCAGTGACTATGTTAGAGGCCCTCCCACTGCCTCCCAATCAGATTAACAAGACTGGTGTCCTTTTGCTTTTCTCTTCTTCTCCACCCACCTCCAAACCCTTTCTAGCCCATTACATGTGGTCATTTAGGTGCAGCCGGACACTGTTGTTTCAAATGCTGATGTGCTGAGCTTTTGTAAGCTCTGCTTAAGTAATTTTTTAAATACTTGCCCAACTGTATATCTTTCTAATGAAAGTTGTCTTTTAAATTAGTGAATGAAAAATAGCTGTTTTGATTGCTGAAATGTTTTATTAGCTTTTAAGCTAGGGCCCATCTCATTTGTCTCTAGGAGTTTCTATGAATCTTAATTCAGACATAGTTAAAATACCTAAAAATAAATTTTATTCCAGAATGTAACTTTTAAACTTTCATTTCTGCCTTCCTTTTCTTGGGTAGAAAGCTGTTTGTTTACATTAAAGGGTTTGTCTGCTACTTCTATTAGTTGTATTTGTTTTCCCAGCCAAAAAGTCATTAGGATTTTGAGGCAGTCTAATTCAGGAAAGGATGAATCTTGTGCTTCAAGGAAAAAATGCTTCTGTGCCCAGCATAATAACCTCTCTTGTCCCCTTACCTCAGGTGCAGAGATTCTGTTAATTTCTTCATGCCACATTTTTCCCTCTTACAAACAAATAACATGTCTCCTGGCCAAAATTTTGGCCAGATTTTGGTGTTTACAAACCTGGTAAACATCTCTGCGGAGAGAATATACAACTGAGCTATTTCCCACCATCTCAAGTCATTGTTGTGGCAAAGTCCAAAGGATATCTGAATTGATTTCTGGCTATGTCCTCAAAGTACAGTTTATGTTCATTACTGGCAATTTTATAACCACTTATGAAATATAAAGTAGAAGATCCATAGGATACCAGTCTAATTCTTTCACATCTTCCAAACACTGCATTGCAATCATCATCTTCTGGTCAAGAGATTCCTTTTAGAACAAGTTTATTCTGTACTTAATTAGATGAAGCGGTTGATATTGAGCAGGGTGTGGAGACAGAAGATCAATTGCTCATTCTCATCATCCTTATAGCGAGGTAACTTTTTAGTTTTCTCTTTACAGCAAGATAAAAAGTCAGTTCCACAGAATGGAATTTTACAAGGCTTCCATCTTCAGGTGTTAGCTAAAGTTCAAATTTAAGCTTAACTGTGTTTAGTTGTGCCATTTGCAGACTCCTGCTGTGAATTGTGGATGTGGGTGGCAAAATGAGGTTTTGACTATCTTTCATGTCCACAAATATGGATATATGAACTGTATGATTTTCCCCCCACCTATAACTTAGAAAAAAGATTGTTGGGAAGGAGTGTCACTCATAACCCTATGTGTAGAATAGTAATAGAAATGTAGCCGTGTTAGTCTGGTCTAGCTGAAACAAAAAACAGGACTATGTAGCACTTTAAAGACTAACAAGATGGTTTATTAGGTGATGAGCTTTCGTGGGCCAGACCCACTTCCTCAGATCAAACAGAGGAAGAAAATTGGCATGCCCATATATACCAAAGGATACAATCAAAAAAATGAACACACAAGAAAAGGACAAATCAACTTTCAGAAGAGGGGGGGGATGAGGGGGGAAGGTAAATGTCTGTGAGCTAATGATATTAGAGGTGATAATTGGAGAAGCTATCTTTCTTTGTAATGGGTAAGATAACCTTAAGATGATTCTTACCAACAACCACAGGACACACCACACTAATATCAACCCTGGAATTTTCCCTTGCAACAAACCCCATTGCCAGCTTTATCCACATAT